GGCTAAAGTAGCAAAGGGCAAGCATTAGTGCTTTGGTTTTTTTTTCTTTTTTTTTCAAATAATACATTATTACATTTCTTATTATTACTGTTAGTCATCTTATGTTTCCTGAGGGAAAGTTATGGGACCATCATCATCATTAGGACAACAATATTAGTTTATATCGCACCTCTGGCAGTTTAAGGCAGAATGCATAAGGGTCTACATTATTTTACCCCTACAGCAAAAACAGCCCTGCAAGGTAGGTGGGATTAGGAGATTCTGAGGGCCCCAAATCACTTGAGCTTTCATGGCTGAGGATGAACTTGAACCTGCCTCTCCCCTGTCCCGATCCCAGCCCTGAACTGCTGTTGGTATGCTTTCTCCTTCTCTTTAATTGAACAACCCAGATTAGAACAGCATGAAGAAATAAAAAAAAGTAATGCTCAAATAAGTAAACAAGGGATCTAAAAATGCCCAGGAGGTTATAATTTTCCAGTATGCCGTTGGTTGAGTATGAATAATTGAATACATTGTGCTGAGAAACTAAAGCCAGAGCTCTGAGCAAGGATAAATCCCAAGAACCATGGTCAACACAACGTGAAGCACCAAATCAAGCTATAAACTGCAATCGGTTGAGTCAAAATGGCAAATCTATTCTGATTGAAGTATCTTCCAGGAAATCTAGTTAATTCCCTATTGCTTTTATCTTGTATCCTAACTTTTCTAAATCTGCCATTGGATTCTGTTATGCCTTCATTCTAATCCAGAGTTTCTCAACCTTGGCAGCTTTAAGATGGGTGGACTTCAACTTCCAGAATTCCCCCCCCCCCCCGCCCGCCCCGCCCTGCGCGGGCTGGCTGGGGAATTCTGGGAGTTGAAGTCCACCCATCTTAAATTTGCCAAGGTTGAGAAACTCTGTTCTAATCATTTCCAATTATTCTGAAATGTCTCTTTTGGGTGTTTGTATGGCTTTCTGCTTTCTTCTCGTCTTATAGGCTGAAAAACTCTATTTAGACCATGCAGTTCTGCTGAAGGAGAAACCGTTTGGCAGTTAGCTACTCAGAAATAAATATCAAAACCTTGAGATGTGTGAACTTCTGGTTATCGGCTCTTTCTCCCACACATTCCTGGGGTTTCTTTCCCCTGAAAGCTGGGACTGTTTTAAAGAAGGAAACAGTTCTTGTCTCTTAGCATAGTTGCAATGATCTCTTCCCGGGACAAAGAGCCCTTGGACCCCAGGCCTAGAGAAGTGGGAGGTTGATGGGAGATGTAGTGAAACAGATCCACAGGGTGTCATGGGTGGGGAGGTACATAGGACCCGGGGTGGCAGTGGGACCATTGACACCATAGTTACTTCTGATTCTGCACAGCAACTACTCCTGCACAGCAAAGGGAATTGTGGGTCAGGATGAAACCCACCAAGATATATGAAAAATTAGGGGTGAAATACCTCATTTCAGGGTGGGGAATCCCCCCCTTCTCTCTCTCTCTCTCTCTCTCTCGTCCAGAAGAAATGAAACCCAGTTTGTCCATGACTTCTATCCGGCTGCTGTTTTTGTTCTGGTTAGTTTCAGATTTTTATTGGCTATAAATTGGGCTGCTTTAGAAAGATTTTGTTATGCTTGGTGGTGAGCTTCCTTGTGGGGCCGTGAAAGGAGAGAAAGATGAATAACAATGATTGGAAATGATTCCTTCCTCTGTTTTCGCTCAGACAGCACAGACCTTCATCTGGACCAGGGCGGTCGTTCTGTACACGCTTCGCGAGACTGATTCAGGCAGAAAATGGGGAAATCGTTCTTTGGCTTTTGGGTCATTAAAAAAGAAACTGGTGGTTTGCATCAATCTCTTGCCACACATCAGAGGCTGGATATTGAACATTTTATATTGCTTGCTTCCTTGCAAAAAAAAAGGGGGGAGTTTTTTGGGGGGTACCTCAAGCTCATTTTGATGCAAGCGAGGCAGATTCATGTACAGTATCAAGGGATCAAAATACGCCTGAACAATTGAGCCACAGGATCCCTTGCTTCTTGGGGGAAAGGGGGAATCAAACATTGATGTCCACGTCTTTTTGCCAACATGTAAATGTGATGCCACTGAGAGGAAGGGAACGCTGGTGTGTTGGGACTGCTGGCTACAATTTAGTCTGTGCTGTGGCTAACAGCAGCTAAGGAGCCTTGCTTAGAAGTTGCCTGGAATATATTATTTTGTTCTGAAATGAGATTCAATTTTTAATCCAGAAAAAAAAAAGTCATATAGATATAGTACCATAAGTGATGGGCAAAAAGGGAGGGTCATCATCATCATGATAAGACAGGTTTTGAAAATCAGTGGCATGTTTCAGGCTATTTTGAAATGAAAAAGACATAAAACTCTAAAATTGACTTAATGTGTCCTCTAAAAAAAAATTCCAGTCCCATTAAGGACCATCTCCTGACTCTCATCAGCACTGTGGTCTTTGCCTACTAGCTGTGACCCCGCTCCCCTCTACCAAACATTGTCCATCTTCTTGTGAAGGTGACATTGAATGCTTCAGTCTCCCTACATCAAAGTTTTCTTCTCCCCAAGGTGGGTGTGTTGCAATGTCAGATCGACTTTGAAGTTAAATTCTGTTCTTATGTTCTATGTAGGTCATTGTGATGTAGATACAGAGCAACTTTGAAGTTCTCCGAACTTACCATATGGCTTAATTCCTTCTTAATTCTTAATGCCTGGTATTACAGTGGTTTATTTGCCTTTAGCTGTGATTATAAAGCTGTTTCATGCCAATTGTGGAAGCTGCTTGACAAGACGTCGGTGTAGTCATGTGCTAAGTAAATAAAAGTAAATGAAATAGACGTGAAGTCTCTATATGCAGTACAGTACTGTGCAAAAGTTTTAGGCAGGTGTGAAAAAATG